CTGCAGTGGACTTCTGTTTCTATTAGTTTGTTTTAGCAGGTAATCCAAATGAGGTGTTTTTAAACTTAAAAACACTTGATTTTATTGGTGAGGAATAAATATGCTTTTGAAGATTTGAGGACTTTGGTAGTGTGTGCAAAATAAAATTTGTTACGAGTTCATGTTTCATAAGATGCACTAGTTTCTAAAATCTTTAATATTACATTTGATGGGGGGGYAAAACCTGTTATATACTATGGCTAAGAATTGCTTAAGGTAGTAGCTCAYTGTGTGAGAAAATACACAAACCTTTTATTGCAGTCCAACTCATTTTTTTGGATTTGCAACCAAGTGACCAGGGAGCCATGCAGCTATGTTGTGTGCAGCTAAATTTTGAAAATCACAGCTTATTTTTGTGAGCATGTTTGTAAAAGTTGTATTATTAAGTAATAGTAATAGTAAGACTATTCAGCGGGCCGCAAATTACTAATGTAAGTAAGTAGGTAAATTTTATTTATAAAGCACTTTTCTTAGAAATAACTGCAGCAGGAGCATTGGTGAGACCGAAGGGCATGACAAGGCATAGTGACCGGAAGGAGTAATGAAGGCAGTCTTRCATTCATCCCCCTCTCAAATTCTTACCAGGTGGTAAGCATTGCATAGATCCAGTTTAGTAAAAATCTTGGCTCCTTGGATCAAATCAAAAGCTGACATCATTAAAGGCATTGGATATTTGTTTTTTATGGTAATGTCATTTAAGCTCGGTAGTCAATACATGGTCTGAGTGATCCATCTTTTTTGCCTACAAAAAACAGCTCCTGCAGGAGAAGATGAGGGATGGATGATGCCAGACTTGAGAGCTTCAGAAATGTATTTTTGCATTGCCTTACTCTCTGGTTGAGACAGGGGATAGAGACAACCTTAGGTGGAGTGGAACCAGGAAGAAGATCAATGGCACAATCATAGGGCCTATGAGGGGGCAAGGTAGAGGCCTTAGACTGGCTAAACACTTGAGCGAAGTCGTGATAATTTAGAGGAACATGAGACAGGTCGGGAGAAACCTCCTTTATTTTACTAGTGGTAGGCAGACAGGAGACTTGAGACAGCGGGACAAACACTCATCAGACCAACCCAGGATGTTGTTACTCCTCCATTCAGTGTGGGGGTTGTGCCTTCTTAGCCAGGTCGCACCTGGAACAGTGGGTAATTCTGGGGAACGGATGGTTAAAAATCTTAGGGACTCTACATGGTTACCGCAAATGAACAACTGGACCTCTTTCATTTGCAGACCGTTCTGGTTGAGTGTGTCTGTCAAGGGCCAGCACATTTTTAGGCTTAGTGGTGGGTTGCATCTGAATGCACAGGGAAACAGCAAAATCAAAGTCAATAAACTCATTGTCTGCACCAGAATCGATAAATGTTTTAATGAAAAATTCTTTACCATTGACTAGAAGGTTGGTGTTGACCTGAGGTAGCCATAGCTCGTGAAAAGATGCTGCAGACCTAAGTCCATGAGACTTGAGACCAAGTGGTTTGCTCTTTAAATGGCAGTTCAAAACTTGATGTCCTGGAGCCCTGCAATGGAAGCATGGACCCTCCTGACTCCTTCTAAGTCATTCCGCCTGAGACAGCCAAGTACGCCCGATCTGCATTGGTTCCTCAGATGATTGAAGAAGTGGTGGGGATGCTCTCCGTGCAAACATGGACTCAGAAAGTCTGGAAGAAACATTAGGGGACCTGGTTTTGTGGTGCTGCACTCACCTCCCTTTGTCGTTCAAACTGCCTCAGATCGATTCTGGTTGCCAGATCTTCAAGTCCTCTCAAGAAGGAGGATCACGGATGGCCAATTCATCCTTGATCTCATTGTTTATTGCCTGCCAAAATACATCCTGTAGTGCTTCCTCATTCCATTTGCTGTCTGCAGTCATAGCGTGAAAATCAATGATTTGATCAGTGACTCTACGGTCTCCTTGTTTCAGTTTTAATAATGTTCTGGTCGCCTCTTTCTGCAGAAGGATGGGGCTAAATACTCTGGTTAATTCATAAGCAAAGTCTTTACATTTGTAAAAACAATGAGTCTCTTTGCCACTCCGCGGTACCCCACAGTTTAGCACGTCCACTTAATAAAGAAATAACATGTGCCACCTTGGAATGCTCCAAAGGCAAGGCAGATGGTTGAAGCTCAAACTGAATCTCATACTGTGTCAGAAATGGGCAACACTGACTTGGTTCTCCATTGAACAACTCAGGAATGGTGAACCTTGGTTCACTGTAGGCCGTTTTGACATATTTGTTTGTAATGACCCAGTTGGTCCAGCAGATGACGCCAGAGGATAACTACTGGAAATTGAACTTGGTGCGTGAACAGACACAAACTCAGAACCTGGATTACTTGGTTTTCCAACAATACAATTCTGCTTTACAGGTGTTGGCGTGAAACTCTTAGTGGCCAGATTAACTGTAATGATTGGGAAAACGATTTTCACTGAATTGCCAGAAACCTGATTAGTTTTAAGMATTTTATTAAAGAATGTGCAGCTGGATCTGGAGGAACACGTCACAGGGATCTGGAGCTCTACACACGAGAGAATCAGGTTAGTGGCTTGGATGTGCAAAGGAACAGATCTTGCTAGAAAAATAGCCACTAACCTTCTTAGAGTGCAAGAGGTCTGGGTTGAGCTCTTAAGAGACCTTGAGAGTCTGGGATGTAGTCCGGTGATGTCACTTCCGAGTTGCGGACTTGAGTCGCATTTGTTTACGAGGGGATTCCGTGAAACAGGCTTGGATCATACACACAGAAACAGAAGACGAAACCAGGTTTTCAGGAGTGGACTTATCTCTTGGTCAGGGTACACAGGCGAGGGTCAGAATCCAGGAGGCAGATGACTGAACAAGTACGACAAGGGTGTAGACAGAAGGCAAAGGTCCAGAGACGAAAGCAAAGGTCAAAACCAGGAGATCAGAGTCCAAAACGGAACCGGTCAGGAGTGAGGCAGGAGACGTGAAACCAGAGAGCAGAAACAGGGTCCTTATCCACGCTTTTGTGACCTCATGCATCAACTATTGCAGTTCTCTCCTTTCTGGARTACCCAGGAAAAGTTTCAGATGTCTGCAAATGGTCCAGAATGCAACTGCCCATATCAACTCATTCCAAGATATATGCCCACATCACCCTGTACTGAAATTCCTTCACTGGTTGCCCTGTCAGGTTATAGCTGATTTTAAGGTCTTGCTCCTCACCTATAAGGCTTTAAATGGCCTGGRGCTTCCATATCTCACCAACCTCTTCCATCCTTATGTTCCATCACGCTCTCTCAGATCTGAAGGTACTGGCCTTTTAATAATTCCAAAAGCTAGAAGAAAGACCATGGGTGAATGTGCCTTCTCTTTTCGTGCCCCCTCTCTGTGGAACTATCTCCCTCAGGACGTCAGGCCGGCTTGTTCTGTAGAGGTTTTTAAAGTTAAGTTAAAGACGCACCTGTACAATTGATCTTACCTGTCTTAATTTTATCCTTTTGTTTTTTTTTATTGTCTTGACCTGTTCTTTGATTTTATATCTTGTCCTCTGTGTTTTTATCTTGCTTTTTGTGATTTTTTCCTTGCTTTTCGTGAATTCACTTTTTGTTATTTGTGATTTTATCTCCAGTTCAGCGCTTTGCTTGAAAGCACTTTATTATTATTATTATTTTTATTATTATTATGGTCGCAACGAGGCAGGCAAGAGGTGACACGAAGACTGCTGGACAACTACTAGGAAAACCGTTCATTAATCTGGTGCTGGTGCTGTGAGAGAGTGGAGCTTATATACTGGAGACAACAGGTGAGTGGCATGATGCTGATTGGGATTTCTGTGATGGGTGGGGTGAAACAATGAGGAGGAAAATTGACAGGAAGACATGACATGACTAGGCTTAGCAAAATACAGACTTGATTCATGACACTTGGAAGACAAAAATTCTGACTTCCAAGAAGAAATGGAACAATAAAAATGCAAATCCTCCAAAATTTCCAAACAGTTGCACAACTATGGTAGGCAAGAGAAGAGTAGGTGAATGCAGACAGTCAAGAATGTCAAAGTTTAGACTGACCACTAACTGACGAAACAGTGGCTTACAATGGAGATACAGGAATGTTGCAACTAAAAGGTGTACATATGTAAAACACATCTCTGTTGCTGAAGGATGCTTGAGCAGACACACACAGAAGGATGTGAATCCTGCCCCTGCTGATCGACAACAGAAACCGTGGCAGAAGGATGGCATTAAAAACCAGCGGGGAATGTAGCYTGATGAAAATATCAGATCCTGAGCAGTAGGATGAATTCTGTAACACGTTTAATCAAGTTACAATTTGTGTTCAGTGATATAATTTATATTTACCATGTAATCATATCCTGTTAATGCCTAAAGTATGGGTGCACAATGACTTTACATTAATTGTGCGTCAGTATGAATTTGTGTCAGTAAATAAACAATATACAAATGTCAAATCTGCAAGTGGAGCAAATTGGATTGACTGCATTTTATTTACCCATTTAAGAAAGGAGCATTTTATTTCAATAAAATAAATGCATCAAGCCTATTAAAATGTTATATAATTCAGGTGAAAAAGGGATCTCATGATCCACCAGCTTACAAAGTTTTTAAGAAAAATCCCATTAGGAAGTATTCTAAAGGATGATTCTTCTTTTCCAGTGTTGTTTGATTGTCCACCTAAAAACGTTTTATTCTTTAATGCAAGGCCGGATTAACCATATGGGCAATTGGGCAATTGCCCAGGGGCCCACGGTCTCCAAAGGGCCCTGGGCAGTGAAGGCATGGACACAACGGATGCGGGATAGGCGTGGACATGTCTCCCAGCACTTCCTGCATCTACGCTCTCTGTCCCCGCATTTTTCTTAGCCGTAACAGCTGTTTTATTCATTATTAACATATGGTAATGCACTTTTCTGAGCCATCTTTGAACGCACCATAAGCGTGCGCATGCTACTCCTGCAGATTAGATGACTGATAGGAGCTACTGTGCTGAGCAGAGTCTCGCGGTGTAAAGAGCAATTAAAACTTCGCACAGTTTTTACCAAACAAACCATGTAAGTTGAGTCATGCTGTTGGAGGCAGATGATGTTAGCTAAATGATGAGTTACACATTATATAATGTTTAGCTAGTTAATATGATTAGTTGTTGTTACCTGTTACACCCCTTGCCAAGCTAGTTTATTAATGCTAGATGAACCCAGTCGTCTTTCATTTCTGTGCAGAAGTCATGCTGGCTGCTTTCCACATATTTAAAATAAATCTTCATTGCCACAGTTACAAAGAACAAGGTCAGGGAGGAGACAGACCAGATAGCCTACAGCAGCAGGGATCATAATGCAGACTTTCCTCAGGTAAGGAGAAATGATGACTATTATTCTTGAAGTGGAACAGTCTTTAAAAATTGGTGTATAGTTTGAAGTCTCTGCTTTTGACAATTTGTAACAGAGTCTCAGACAATTAACCACAGAAAGATGGAGGTTAAATCACATGACTGGATCACATGTTGTTGAGAAACCAGACAGGTATCAGGACAGGGTTTTCATTGATATTTCAAAAGTACCATTCATACTCAAAAATATTTTTTATTTTATTATTGTTTCTGCTTTGGTCCAAAATAAATCTAGAATTTATAATATTATTTTGTTATTTACCGGCAGTTAACAAAGAGATGATTGATAGTCTTAGTTCAAAAGCAAAAACTGACATGAATGTTTAAAGATGTAGTTTCATTTTTGTTTATTATATAGATGAATGACATTTTTGTTTATTATTCATTTTCATATATTACTATACTGCATTATTTGTGTTCTTAAGGACAGCGGGTGTGGGTCATACAATTTTTCTTTATTTTGCTTAGTTTTGCACATCTTTGCGGTCACATTTACTAAAATGTTGATGTGTTTAGTGTTGCGTCACTTTCTATGTTTATGCCATTCTTTGTCTTATGAGCCAACATCGAGCCAAGTAATAATTTGCTTACATGGAGATACTGTATATATTTATATAACAACTGGAGTGCTCAGAAACCAGGTGACCGTGTGATCGGCTGG